TTTCTTGCCTCAGCCCATTCCGTGGTGTGGCTGAGGTCTGTCTCTTATACACATCTAGATGTGTATAAGAGACAGTATATATATATCCTATAAATATTCACCTTTTTAAACGTTTTATATTTAATACAAATTGAAATTACATTTTCATTTTTACAATGACTCTGTTTTATCGTATCGTGCATTAGTACTGTGCCAAGAATCTGCTTCGTACTTTGGGAAGAAAATCGGTGACTTCAACCCGCAAGGTGGAGTGGTGGCATCTCACAACAGTATGGGTAGTGTCTATGCTATCGATGATAGGACTTTATGGTTACGTGGTTTCAGCTACGATGGTCTTGCTCCAGGTATTTCAATGGAAAGTCAATAACACAATAGTGTCACTTTGTACCATAAACCGTGAGATTTTTTTTAATTGAGAAAAGTTTTTTGTTTTGGAAGAAATTAATCCCAATGTTGAGGCTTTTTATATTTTACCATTCATAAATGAACACAGAGCAAACATGCCAATTGACAAAAGGTTCCAGATACAATTGATATCCGGATAAACAACACCGATAAATTTCTAAATCGGTGTTGTTTAACTAGGTACAATTTGCTATCCGGTTAAACAACACAACACTGATGCATTTCTGTTTTTAAATCATTAATTAATTTTGTTTTAGTTATGCATCTAAACTAATAGTAGCTGCTGCGCTTGCGCTGAATCATAACAATCCTTGCTTACTTGCTTACTGGTTAAATTCCATTGCTGCTCTCTTTATAGTTTAGCTGGAGGGCTTATTAACGAGTTGTATTTTTTAGCACATTCTTTTTGACATAGACAATGAACCTTTAGTCCCATGTGCATTTAGGTTCATGTGCACGTTAATATCTGTATAACTGTAAAGAAAGGAGATCATTAGGTCGTATGCAGAAGTGACAGGGGCAAATAAAAATACATAAATAAATAAATAAATAAATAAATAAATAAATAAATAATAATAATAATAATAATAATTTGTTATTATTACTTATTGTGGATATAAATTATATAAAAGTAAATAATAATAATGTATTATCAATTATATAAAAGTAAATAATAATAATGTATTATCATTACCTATTGTGGATATATATTATATAAAAGTAAATTGAAATCCATATTAGCAGCGGATGGCATATACCAGCGCAATATATCTCAAAAGTTAATTCTTAATTACCCAACATTTTGATTTCTAAGAATCTAACAAATTTTGTTTTTTCTTATGACACGCAGATGCATTTTTGTGGGCTGGTATAACAGCCCAACCAAGCTCTAGTGGAGAAATAATTCCGAAAGAAGATGGAAGGTACGAGAAAAAATATATTCTGAAAAATTAACTAATTACTAGTTTGTGTTCATTCTATTTGAATTTACTGATGTTAATGACATTACTAGACTCGCCACAAGTTTATAGATTTTCCTAGTTTTAAAAACTTTCCGAGAAATGGTGCAAAGAAGTCATATACAATGCCATTTGTGGCAAAATCAATTTTTTTTTTTTTTATAGTTTTCACTGATTAAGAGAGAATTTAGGGACTGGATTCCAGTCTATGACATTACCATCATGATATTTTAAATTTTTGTAATGATTTTTAAATAGTTTTGTGAATTAACAAGATTGGCCTTCTGAATTTCATGTAAGATTGTTCAGACCTAAAATAATTTCGTGTTGTCATATAATTTCGATTTAGAGTACTGTGATTTATGAATTTGACTAAAGAAAGCAGGCTATCGATATTCAAGATATAATACTTGATTATTAACTTTTAGTTTGGAAAAGTTAGGACTTTATAACAACCAAGATATCGTAGTAACACTGAGTAGCGGAAGGGTAATCACCGACTATAAATGGATATCCGTATGGTGCCGTTCTTTCGCGGTAAGTCGCAAAACGAATAATAATAATAATAATAATAATAATAATAATAATAATAATAATAATAATAATAATAATAATAATAAAAACAATTATTATTATTATTATTATTATTATTATTTATTATTATTATTATTATTATTATTATTGTTATTTTTATCATATTGTATACTTTTATTAGTTACCGCTTTTGCTAAGCTTGATATGCAGAGGTCGCCTATAGATGCATATTAATTTAACATTCAAACACTTAAGTTATATATTCTTTATCGATATTATTATAACTGTAATGCTTTTACTGATTATTATTATACTATTATTTTTGTTATTATTATAGTTATTATCATCGTCAACGTCATCATCATTGTCAGATTGCAATTAATATTATTATTGTACTATTATGATTTTTATTAATATTTTATATTTACATAATTATTATTTTGTTATATTATATTATTTGATATTATTATTATCATCATCATTATCCGTATCGTTTAATTGTATTATTATTTATAGTATTATTATTATTATTATTATTATTATTATTATTATTATTATTATTATCTACAAATATACAATATCATGCACAAAAGGAGTTAAATTAAAGTAACAAAAAAGCTATTGACATTTTCGGAGTAAAATATCGAATGTCATGCTCTATAACTTTGTCGTTGTTTTAAGTAGTGAGAAAAATCTTAGCCCTTTACAGCATCTTAAACAGAGAACTAAAGAATTTATTATTTGAATAAATACAAAAAAAAATTGTTCTCATATCATGCCATGTAATATCATAAACATTTTTTTCTGCTACATTCCTGCAACATTCTCTCCAGGCCAACTTTGCTGACGTGTACATTACCACTGGATTCGTAGCTCCCTCTTCTTATTCTCTTGGTGCTCTTGGATTTACTCCCAGACGGTATAATGTAATGGCTGATGACGTCATCATAGTAGACAGCAAGACGATTCGATTTGAAAATCTATTTTACGATGGAACTGCACCTGGTACGTTAATATTGTATTTTACATATATTTAAATTTTGATTTATTTATTTTTGCATTTTTATGATAATCTGAAACAGTGTTAATGCATACTTTAATTTCATGTATTCACTCATGTTTCCAGCTACCTATTTCTGGGTCGGAACCGGTACACCAAGCTCAAGTGGCTTTATAGTACCAGACGAAGACGGAAAGTAAGATTCAATTTTAGTTATTATCTGAACTTAGTAATCTTAATTCGCATTATTTATGCAAACGCATCTGAAACAACCTTAACCGAAGCTCATAAGAGGAATTGAGAAAAATTATTAGAGCATATTCTGTGGTGAATCTGAATGTTTTAATGATATGCGCGATACAGTTTACAAGTTGAATTGGCTTTTTGCACACAAACCGAAAAAAAATTAAGCTAACCGTACACTAATGGAAAATTAGTGCAAGGTTTAGGATAGGAAAACAATGGGAGCTACAGTATTACACGATTGACTTATAATTTGTTTTATATTGCAGCAAGAATACTGTTTTACGTGCTTATACCGGGGAAACGATTACGATTGTATTTGACGGTAATCTAACAGTCTTCGATATTGACTACATTAGTATTTGGTGTGAATCAGCGCGTCAGGACTTTGGTAGTGTAACTGTCCCCGATTCCTCACTCTTAAATATACCGCCCTCATACAGTACGGTAGGTAGCGTTCTCAATGATACTACTACTACTACTACCACTACTACTACTACTACTACTACTACTACTACTACTACTACTACTACTACTACTACTACTACAAAAAGTCCATTTATTCATTTGTATGAAAAAGTGTTTCTGGTGGGATTTAAACCTGCAACCTCTCGCTGGTAAGGCGAGTATCATACTCATTAGACCACGGAGACCAATATGGCGTAGTTCGAACAACTAGGTACATTCTCTCATGCAACTGACTAATATTTATACAATAGACCTACGCATCAACTTACATAAATATAATATTTAATGTTCAGATTTCATAATATTTTTCCGCCTTTCCCCGGTTCATTCAGCAACCATCCGGTCCGGCATTTGAGAACTGTGAGCAACTTAATGAGAACATGCAAGTTCTGTGGACAATCAACGGTGGCTCAATCGATATTCAGTTGAAAGGAACTGTACCATTTGGTGAATACATGTCTTTTGGTATCAGTGGTTCAACTACGAGGACTACAATGATTGGTTCAGACGTCGCCGTCGCCTGGTTCGATGGGGAGCAAGCACAAGCAGTTGACTACTACTTAAGTGGATATTCACAGGTAATGTGACAGCCATCCTTGAGTAAATCTGTTTAGTTTTCGCAGCGTCGATTGTGCTGCATTGTGTGTTCCGTGACGCTACCAAATAGTCTTAAAGAGGCGCTTCTAATAATAATAATAATAATAATAATAATAATAATAATAATAATAGTGTAGTTTTATATAGCGCACATATCCATCTAATGTAAGATGCTCAGGGCGCTTGATATGTGGACTAGGAACTCGATCAATGACTTTCTTCGCCCTTAAGGGTCCTTTCGTGTCTGCGCTACCCGGCTTATAGTTATAGTTTGACATGTTTACATCATCCCTCAACGACGGAGCTAAAAAGAACCATGAGCATTAGGATAAACCCTTCACTTGCGAAAGACGAACAAGTGCACACGAGCCAATTGTGCACACTAGAACTCTGTTTTAAGTCCTTGTACGAGAAGACTCTACATTTGGCGGCGCCCGGCCTTATTACTGAACCACTCAACTTCGACTCTGTCATGACTTTAGTAGTAGGTACGTTCATATAACGTTCATGTTAGAGAAAACCGTTCATATAGAAACCATCAATCATGATCTATTTATGCTAATGTATTCAGTGTTGCATTAAAACCACCGGAAGCACAACCAATGAGGTTTGGACCTACCAAGAAGCACAACCAATGAGGTTGGGACCTGTTTAATAAACTGAAGGCTGATTGGTTGAATTCGATCTCATGAATTAATTTATCATGTTAACCAATGTTAATCATGATGCATCCACTAGATCACAATAAGGTGATCAAGCTAAGCACGTTATTTGATTCTGGTAGGCTCACATAAAGTGACTGGCTTGATCATGATCCCCTGGATCATGATAAACTCTGAATGTGAACCTGGCTGATGTGTTGTTAAATTTACGATGTGTATTCATAATGTTATCGTAACCAGTGTATTCATGTGTATTAAATTGGTTTTCTTTCATTTGTTTCTAATTTTTCTCCAGTGCTCCAGTGGAAATGGTGCCTGTCCAGACGTGCAATCCATTCCTCAAGGAAGAAATGATTTAACTGGAGTATCGGGATCTGTGGAGGATGGTGTTACAGCCATTTCGTACACTAGGTTGCTTAACACGGGTAAAATTGACAAATTTTTTTCCCATTTTAAATGTATTATATCTGACAGATGATATTTGAATATTTAGTGGTGATGGTGGGGATGTTAAAGTGATGCGATTTGGAAAACGTGACTTGTTTCAATATTTGTAGCTTGAATTATTTTTTTCTAAACTTTTAAAATTAGTATGGTACCCAATGCTTACAACATTTCTCTCTGCAGGAGATATAAGAGACAAGATAATTCCGTCCTCTGGCGAAACATATGTATCGTGGGCTATTGGACCAGTGAACAGTGATGGTTTAGCTGCTAAGCACTCCGTTCGGACAGAGGGTGAGCTGGAGTTACTTACGTTCAGCTGCAATTATTGATGATAATAATGATTGATAAATTATAGGCTTACTTATCATAAGTAAATCACTGTGCTTTCAACGTTATTTCAAAAAATCCTTGCAGCTTGAATGCAATGCTGGAATGTAAAAGGATCCACAAACCTGTTTTAATTATGGCACAGCAACGCTGCCTAACCTGGAAAGAATCAAACTGCTGATTGTTACAGTCATACAGAAGTGTTATAATTTTCACTAATGTAGCCTAACATGTCAATTCTAGTGTAATTATGGTACTGTATTTATTTATCCGTAAGAACGTTATTATAATGTTTTCAATATCAAAACGAAAATTTCTAGTATATTTTGCCTTCTTTTATTGTAATAACAATAAATCTCTGTGCTAACAGTTGTTTTTCCAGATTATGGCAAGAAAATAAATTTTGGCCGCACGCCGTCAAGCACATGTACAAATCTTGTAGTTCCCACAACACCAGTTCAAGGATGGAATGAGCTCAGTATTAGTTCCAGCGTAACAACCTTTGAAGCCAAGATAGGTCCTAATGGTGGTCAAAAAGGCTACTCTTATATCACAGGTAAAGTGTCTAAATTACTTACATGCCAAAAATATTACTATTATACTGAAAATACGAAATCGTTCCATATGGTCATTGATCCATCAAAACACATACTTGATAAAATGAACATCGAGAATTGACAAAAAGAGAACGTCACCAACAAAAAATTACAAAATTATAAAGGATGTGAAGTTATAGGCTTATTATTATTATTATTTTTTTTTTTTTTTTGCTTACAGGAAATGTTGGATGGGGGATCTCTTGGTATATTAATAATTTACTCATTCCAAGACTGACGTTAACGCGTGGTACCACCTACACTTTCAAGGTCAACGGTGGAAATAACCCCAGCCAGAGTGCCGATTATCATCCCTTTTACCTGACCAATGATCCAGCAGGTGGTTATGCCTCCCTCTCACAAGCCGAACAGGTAAAGGGATTTTCTTTTATAACATGTTATAGCAAACAATAGCAACATTGATTGTGACATTTTTAGTAATACGCTAATATAGGCGGTGCAGCACTACCAATCATCTGAATGAGTCAATCACTAGTTTGCAGCAGCTAAGTAAGCTTTAGAGTAAAATCTTTTAAAAGTGTGTGTTGATAGATCATGGTATGGTTAGAAGGTGTGCATGTAAGCGCGACGCTTCAAGGACTGGACACCATTGTCAGTAGGCCTAATCTCTCCAACAATTTAGGATAGTTGCTGATAATAATAATAATAATAATAATAATAATAATAATAATAATATTAATAATACTGTAATAATAATAAATAATAATAATAATAACGATAATGATAATGATATTGATAATAATAATAATAATATTTATAATATTTGTAAATGATGATGATGATAATAATATAATTCCAGCATTTCTTATTGGGGGCCACTTATCAAGGAACCTGCATGGCATAGCCGGGCAACTTCTGAAATTTTGAGTCTTCATTAGGTTGCAATTTGTAAATTGTAACATAAAGTTGTTGAGGGGAATTTCTAAATGTCTAAATTTGTCGGACCTGTCTGCGACGAGAGCAAAG